CGTCTTCTGAAAGGACCCACTCTCTCCCTTGAGTGTCCCCTTCTACTTTTCTATCCCCTCAATAGACTCATTCCTGTTACTCTGACATGTCTGAAATCCTTCCGACTTGATTGTAAGAGGGACTCTTCGTGCTGCCTCAGTTTCTTGGAAGGCCCCAGCTCCATAACAGTAGGAACAGAAAACTGGAAGTCAGAACATTTGATGTCTAGTGGAGACTTTGTCACTAACATGGAGTCTTGGATGAGCCATTCCCTTATCTAGGCCTCCATTTCCTCACATATAAAATGAAGAAATTGAAATAAAGAATATCTAACTTTATTTTATGATTCTGAGTTAAACTAGAATAAAATTTTACTTGTCCATCAAAAACTAACTTAGAGTAAGTTGCCACTGTCTGCTCTTGTGACAGTGGTGCTGAGCGGGCTTTCCTTCCTCTACATATGCACCATCTCTCATAGTATTCCAAATGCATTGAAAGGGATGTATAAGTTTGCTAGAGTTGCCATAACAAAATATCTCCAACAGCATAAGTTAACAACATGATTTTACCAGTTTATGAAGGCTAGAAGTCCAAGACCAAGGTGTCACAAATTTAGTTTCTCTAGAGGATCCTTTTCTCATTCTTTCTCTTTTCTTTCTTTCTTCTTTTTTTTTTTTTTTGATTTTATTTTTTACACATTCATAATTTATAAAGCTTTTTGAATTAATAAAAGTAATATTAACATATTTAAAAACCTATATGTACATTATAAAATGTCCTTTTTTAATTTATTTTAGTTTTTAAATACATGACAGCAGAATGCATTACAATTCTTATTACACATATAGAGCTCAGTTTTTCATATCTCTGTTTATAAAGTATGTTCACATCAATTCATGTCTTCATACATGTACTTTGGATAGTTCTGTCCATCACATTCCACCATCATTTATAACCCCCTGCCCCCTCCCTTTTCCTCCCACCCCTCTGCCCTATCTAGAGTTCCTCTATTCCTACCATGCTCCCCCTCCCTACTCCACTATGAGTCAGTCACCTTATATCAGAGAAAACATTTGGCATTTGTCTTTTTGGGATTGGTTAACTTCACTTAGTATTATCTTCTCCAACTCCACCCATTTACCTGCAAATGCCATGATTTTATTCTCTTTTATTGCTGAGTAATATTCCTTTGTGTATATATGCCACTTTTTAAAAAATGCATCCCTCTACTGAAGGGCATCTAAGTTGGTTCCACAGTTTAGCTATTGTGAATTATGCTGCTACAAACATTGATGTAGCTGTGTCCCTGTAGTATGCTGTTTTTAAGTCCTTTGGGTATACTCCAAGGAGAGGGATAGCTAGGTCAAATGGTGGTTCCATTCCCAGTTTTCCAAGGAATCTCCATACTGCTTTTCATATTGCCTGCACCAACTTGCAGTCACACCAGCAATGTATGAGTGTACCTTACTACAGAGCAATAAACAAAAACAGCATGGTATTGGCACCAAAACAGACTGGTAGACCAATGGTACAGACTAACCCACAAAATTACAATTATCTTATATTAGACAAAAACACCAAAAACATGCTTTGGAGAGAAGATAACCCCTTCAACATGATGCTGGGAAAACTGGAAATTCATATGCAACAAAATAAAATTAAAACTCTATCTCTTACCATGCACAAAATTCAAATCAAAGTGGATCAAGGACCCAGGAATTAAACCAGAGACCCTGCATCGAATAGAAGAAAAAGTAGGCCCTAATCTCCATCATGTGGGATTAGGCCCCAACTTACTTAATAAGACTCCTATACCACACGACTTAAAATCAAGAATCAATAAACGGGATATACTCAAACTAAAGTTTCTTCTCAGAAAAAGAAACAATCTGTGAGGTGAATAGAGAGCCTATATCTTGGGAGCAAATCTTTACCCCTCACACATCAGATAGATCACTAATCTCTAGAGTATATAAAGAACTCAAAAAGCTAAGCACCAAAAATACAAATAACCCAATCAACAAATGGGCCAAGGACCTGAACAGACACTTCTCAGAAGAAGATGTATAATCAGTCAAGAAATATATGAAAAAAATGTTCATCATCTCTAGTAGTTAGAGAAATGCAAATCAAAACTACTCTAAGATACCATCTCACTCCAGTCAGAATGGCAGCTATTATGAAGACAAACAACAATAAGCGTTGGAGGATGTGGGGAAATAGAGGATCCTTTTCTTTATTTACAAATATCCACCTTCTCACAATCTCTTGGCGGAACTTTTTTTTTCATGAATCTGAATGCTTTCATCTCCACTGCATCACTATACATCCTAATCTCTTCTTTTTATAAGGGTATCAATCAAACTGGATTAGAGTCCACCCTGAGGACCTCATTTTAACTTCATTAGCTCTTATTAGCTCCTATCTCCAAATACAACCCCATTCTGAGGAACTGGACATTAAGGCTTCAATATGTGAATTTGGGGAGACAGGCACACAATTCAGTGCAGAACCAAGAGCAAAGGATTTTTCTTTCTGCAGTGAGAAAGTGCTATTCTCTTATGTTGGTGATAGTTTTTATCCAGAATAGTGGGTATACATAGAAAGGAACAGTCCTTTCCTTACATCAGATTCTGAATATTTTGAACAGGGAGGGCAAAAGTATTGAGGAATAGACAGTGTGATGCAGAACAAGTTCCTAAGAAAGAGTGAAAACACAGAAATAAAAGTTACCTACTATGTTCTCAGTAAAGACTAAAAATCAGGTGGACTCTGTCCCCAAATGAGGTCAGTTTAGACATCTCAAGGTCAGGTCATTGTGTCTAACTTTAAGAATTGAAAAAGGAAATTCTAAGGATTGAAAAAGGAAAGAAATAAACAAGAGTGGCAAGAGGAGAAAATAATAATAACAAAAGGGAAAAAGGGAAGCAAAACAAAAATATTGAATTGAAAACATATAAGAAATAAAATATCTCTGATGTTGTCTTTTCTCTGCTTGGGCTGCAATTAATAAAATATCATGGCCAGGTGGGTTGTACAACAGAGACATATTTTCTCGCAGTCTGAAGGATGAGAGTCTGAGATGGGGGTGTCTGCATGGTCAGTCTCTGGTGAGCACCCATTCTGGCTTCCAAGAGGCTGAATCTCACTGTGTATCTCAAAATATTCTCCCATGGCCCCTCCTGCTCATGTGAAAAGACAGAAGGTTCTCTCTCTTTTCCTCTTTTTACAAAGCCATGGATCCTTTTTCATCAGGAATCCGCCCTTCTGATCTCATTTACCTTACTTTCTGAAAGATCCATCTCCAGGGGCAGTCCTGTCGAGTTCTAGACCTTCTACGTAAGAAAATTGGGGGAAAAAAATTCAGCTCATAGCACCAGTACTGCTGATTTAAAAGATAGGCCCCACATGACTCAACATTTCCAATAGATTGCCTCCTGCTTGGTGTTCCAGTTACTGAGACAGGAAAGTTTTGCTAGGCAGCTTTGAGTAAAGACCTGGTAGAGCAGGAAGCTGGATCAATAATGCCCTAAAGGACCGAAGAACCACAGGTAAAATTGATCCTTGCCAAATGAAAGGAGCAAGAGGTATGTGTGCTTTTACTCAAGAATGCGGTTAGTTTGAGGGTCCCTTGTACTTTCAGTTTGTCAATTTACGAATCTACCCTTTAAATGGAACCAGCTTTAAGCCAAAATCTGAACAGGAGCAAATTAGATCTTTTCCCAACAAGGATGAATAAACCCAGGGCAATCTACTTATCTTGTTTGTAGAGGACACCAAGAATATAAGTGCTGGGTGACTTTATAGTTTGTGTTTCTGAAACTTTTGGATGGTAGGAGGCCAGTAATGAGGAAAAGTAATCAAGTAGACTCATACTCTATTTCTACTTTCTCTGCTCTTCAAATATTTACCTCCTTATTTTCTAAATTAAAGAAATCTGCATCTGTTAAATTACTCTACAGTAGCCAAATGGATAATATAGAGGGTTATTTTTATTAGAAACACCAAGTGTCCAAATCTATGCAGGAGTGCTGCTAACACTAAATTTGGAACCAACTAGCAGTTCCTAGATCTGTCATTTTATAAGTTGTGAGCCTTGGTCAACTTCTTCTCTCTGTTTTCTCAGCCATGAATTAAATAAAGCAACAGTACCTGTGGCAGATGTTGTTGTGAGGATTAAATTTGACGCCAGCCTTTCCAGAAGTGTCATGCTGTTGGCTAATGTTAAGGCTTTGCTATTTCTCCCACTAGAGCTACTACTGCTGTGATTAGAACTCTTGCTATTTCAACTATTGCTAGTATTATTACTACTTGATAATATTAAAGATATTTGCCACCATTGGATTTATTCTGAAGGCCCAGTATGAATCAATAATAATTTCTTGGATTCTAAGACATTTTACGGGAAAGAAATGCAAATTGTGATCCTTACTCTATGTGGGCTAAACCTTCAACTAACGAAATCAGCAATATTTCCCAAAGCCCTTTAGAAAAGAAAATTGAGGCCCAGATAAAGCCTAAACATGTTACTCTGAGCAAAGAGTGAAGCCAGAACTAGACAGGCAATCAGTATAGATAAGTAAATTGAGATTGAGGCAGGCCAGTTTTGAGTGAGTCCCAGGTAGTTGGAGACTGTCCCCTGAGGGACTGAAATGTTAATTCCTTCAGAGCCCTTCCTCCACCCTTATTAAGAACTTCCCGCTGCTCCAACCTGTTGCTGAGGTAACCTGTCCCAGGAATTGCCCCTTCCTACCGGGAGCTGTAATATTGTTAATTAATGTGGCCTGGGCTGCTCCATCCTGCCCTTCCCCCTTCAGCCCACTGGTTTCTTACCTTTTGGCCATCCCACTGAGCATTCCTGGGCCTAGTCACATACTCAGGAAGGAGAACAAAGGAAGCCTAGGACATATAAAAAGGGCAGAACAACTCCCGTCTTGGGATACCAGGATACCAGCTATGGCCCCCTTCTCCCTCGTGGGAGATGTCTATGTTACCCCTTTTTAAATAAACCCTGCCTTACCTGCTTGCCTCAGCATACTTCTCCAATATCTAAACTTCAACATGTGAGGAAGCAGGACTCCTCACCAATAACTGGCTGTATCAGGAGCAGCTGAACTCACACCCAAATTCAGTCACCTGATTGAAGCGCCAGGCTCACCCCTTTGGCCCCTGTGGGATTTGAGAATCCCATAACCCTGATGGGAAAGGACTCTACTGTGCCAGATGGGGTCAGAGTTATGACAGCCACCAAGAGCCAAGCCAGGCCATTGAACCTCGGCCTCATTAGCACTGGACGTTCATCATTTCAGCCTATTTTCTCCACAGCCACAGTCCCCAAACAATGACAAACCAAAAGACACTAACAGAAACTGATCCAGTGGCATTTTTTTGGGTTTCCTTTCCAGAGACAGTTTTTCTTCTTTACTGTCAAGGATAAAAGAGGTCAAGGAAGATGTGACTGGTACAGAGAGATTTTAAACTTATCCACAAATATGGTGCCCACATTTCTAAACTCACTCCAAATGCCTGTCACAGTAACTGTATGAGACAGACTCTGGGTCAGACCTAGCTTCTGAGGTTAAATAAAGGTAAAAGCTTAAGTTTCCATACATACCAGAGATGCCACTGCAGTTTCATGGCCTTCCGGAGAGTAAATAGGCAAAGGAAGTAATCACCCTCCTGCAATTTTTGCATGATATTTGTACATTCCACACCCCAACTCCCACCTATAAACACTCAAAGGAAATCATAAGCACAGTTAACTACAGATTATATATAAGTCCAGTGTTTCCTACAGGACATGCCCCAAGGCAGTCATTCAAAGGGAATTTGGAATTTTCCATCAGAAATCGTTCAAGTTCCTAATAATGATCTCACATAACATGCATTCCTGTGTTGTGTGTGTGTGTGTGTGTGTGTGTGTGCATGTTTCCTTTTTTCTTCTGATGTATCTCACACTCTCCATTCTCTGGGAAATGCGCTTTCTACAGTCTGAACTTTAGTCCAAGAAATGCAGGGTAATCCTAGGAGGTTAGGAAGAGATCTTCTGAAGGAATGCATTTGATCTCCAAGATAGCCCGGCCAAAAGACATCCATAGCCAGACTTTGGGAACAGGGCCAGGGCCTGCTCAGCGTCAGAACAGACCAGAACTCAGAGCATCTGGCCCCTCCCTTCTTCTCTTTGCAGGATAAACAATGCAGCCCAACCACAGTTAGGGCTATAATTTGACAACTTTATCTGTTTCTTCCTAGGCAAAAGTCACAGTTGACTGCAATGAATAACAACCAAAGTAACATATTTTAAACATCTAGGAAATTTCACAGCTTCTCAAAGAGAGTAGCTCCTCAAGTTGGTTTACTATTGTAAGCTTAGGTTGAAATATTTGTCTTTGTCCCTCAACCATCTTAGACTCCTGGTTGACATGGGCCAGGCTGGAGAAGGTGGTGGACAATGGGATCTCTATTTTAAGAGTCCTTTATTTGCTTCAAAAATGATTTTCAGACTAATATTATAACTATAAGAAAGCCAATTCCCCTCTCTTTTTCAAAACGTCTTCCTTTAATATCTCTCAGAGGAATCCTAGAGTTCTTTTCTCTCCCTTTGTGAAATAATACTATTGTAACTGCTGAGAAAGACTTCTTAAAATGAAAGAGAAAGAGAAAGTCTTGACATAAAACTATTTTTGAATGATTCTTATTATGCAGACAAGTGGATCACATGATAGAGAGAAGGCAAACAGTCATGATCGGCCATCAAGTATTTTTTGTTGAATCAACAGTATTTTTTTCTTATTGCTGCTATAAAACCACCAACTTGTATATGAAGCCACGTTATGTATGTTCCTATATTGGGTGAATTTCTTCTTCCACTTCTCAGGGGTTTTTTTGTTAACAAAAAAAGGACACTAATAGCATCCATTTTATGGATTTTTATGAAAATTAAATATATTACCACATGTAAGCTTGTAATAAGCACTTAGTAAGCATTAGACATTATTGTTCGTGGTAATAGTACTATCAAGTTTTTTCAAAAAGCTGAGCTTAACTCAAGTCATATTTTCCTCTGTGGATCTTAGTCACTGACCTGGAATCTGCTTTCCCTGGCAGGTCAACTCACTCCACCAGGACAGATCAAGCCCTTGGTTTTCAATTAATGAACTTTTTATTCTAAAAGCATATTATTACTATATCCTCCTTTTTGTGTTTATTTGACAGTATTCTTGCTTGGAATGCAACCTCCTAAAAATCCATCATATGAGAAGATGCCCTTTTCCTTTTCTAGAGATATGTTTGCATTCAGTGAGAAAACTCATAGATAGGCATGATACTTTCTGCTAAAAGATTATTTTCACATATATTATTTAATATATGTGCTTTAAATAAGAACATCAAAATCTCTCTTTGAATATAAAAGCACATAAACTGGGGATATGGCCAGATTCAAGTCTGTGTGTTATCCATCATGTATCTTCTGTACTTTGTAATAGTTATGGGTTGAGTTGAATTGGAGATGCAGAGTCCTGACAGGAAGTGGATGTAAACTAAAAGAGGCAATTAAAGAGAGGTTAATGATAAGTCTATCTACAATCCATGGCAGGGTTTAGGAAACCAACAGGGATGATACAGCACTAGCAAGAGTTCTCTTACTCCATCTCAAACTGAAAAAGTAAAGGGAGTACCCGCATCAGGAGCCAGACAGAGCAATGCCTGCCCGGGAGGAATGCTGGACAGAGGTTATGGCCCTTCTGCCACTGCTGATTCTCCACCTTGCCAGCTGGGAGCTACAGTGATCCGAACCCCACATGGGCTTTTCCATTCTCCATCTCCTGCTAGGGCTTCTTGTTAGCCAAATGCAAGCAGATGTCACAATCTAAAAACATTTACATGACATAGAGGTCAGCTTCCCTAAGGTCATGGTAAGGTAGGAAGGGGGAAAGTAGATCTGAAGGTGCAAATAACCTGCAAAATCCAGAACCACTCCAGAATATTCATTGATGTGTTTCATTTTATAGCCTTTCCCAAGCTACGAGAGTATCCTGAAAGCTGGTATTAAAAACCGGCTTCCAACCTTCTGAGAACCTCTCCCAAGTCAGGGCCCTAACAGTGTACACATTGAAATTGACAAATGACAACAGAGACTAGTTACTTTTTATATTTAAAGCAGTTATTTTTGATACATATTAAAGATAATTTGAATTAAACAAAAAAAAAAACCACTCTTACATGATTTGGACCCTTTATTGCTTTGGACTAGAGGGATGCAAATTCTCTCTAGTTTATGTGTTCCTCCTCCAAAATTGGAGACTCCAGATTCTTTTGACTATTAGCTGGGAAAAAAATTGAGCATACACTTACAATATGTAATATTTATTATTAAATTATATATTTGTTTATATATATGTTATCCTATTACACTATGTGCATTACAAAATATATAAAAAGAAAAACTATCAACAGATGAAACAAAACAGTTTTATTTTCTTCCTACACTTCTGAGAACATCTTAATTTCCTACTTTAGAAAGGTGCCTTAAAGGCCTCTGTGATTACACACTCAATCCAATGGCCATTCAAGATACATAATTATTCTACCCATTAATATTTTAGTACTTAAGCTTTTAAGAGAGAATATGTACACCAAAATCTGGAGTATCTTCTTAGCAATCCTAAGGTGCTAAACAAGTACTGTATTTGAGAAACACTTAAGCCATTGTAAAGCGTAGTTAGTGCATGCTTCAGAGTAACCCACAACAAATCTCAGCTCCATCCTGCAGAATAGGAAACTGAGTCACAAAATGTTTCAGTAACTTGTTCAAGAGGATTTCTCTGTGTCATAAAACCCAGGTTTTCTGAGTCTGAGCTGAACATTTATTCTCAAGGTTACCAGCCTTGTCACCCAGCAAGTTTTCTATAGAAAAAATTTATAGAGTAAACAGTATTTGCACCACCGAGAGGTCTCCCTGGGAAAGGCATGTGATGGTCCCTAAGAGGAATGATTTGCAGAGAGAACTTCAGCTAAATGCTTGATGCATACTTGGCCTCTAGGTTTCTGCTTTTCCTGCTGTGGCTGAGAGATTCCAGCAGTGCTCACTGGAATGTGAGTCCCCCTGAGCCATACTGTGATTATCATTGCTTTTTTCTACAGCACCTGACCATGGCTGCTAATTTAAAAAAAAAAAAAAAAAAACAGCCAAATGAATAAAGATTGATGCCACTGAAACATAAGCTCATGTGTCTTCAAAACAGTGGAAAATTTAGAAATCAGAATTAAGAATCCCCTCCTCCAATTCTTTAAATAGATAAAGTTTTCACAACTGCATCTTGATGCTTAAAGATCATGAAAAGTACCTCAAAGGCATCCCCTATAGTTCATTGCAACAAAGGGAAAGAATTCTTGGCCAGTGAGTCCACCTCATTCACAGCTTTCATCAGTTAACAAGGTACAGTTCAATTCCACTTTGCCTCCAACTCCTTCTCATTAAGCTTGGCTCAAATTCAAGCCCTGGAGCCCCTCCCACTGTCCTGAATGGTCCCCATGTTTCACTTCACTAAAGAAGAGATTAATTTGTAGAAAGGCTTCAGCACATTCCTGGGTTGCCCAAGTGCACTTCTTTTCATAGAACAGGCTTTTGATTTTGCGCTTTAAATCAAAGGCAGAGAGCAAAAATTCCAAGTATGTATGAGCTTCCGACCTTTAAAAAAAACAGGATTGTTCAGATGGAATTCAACATAGAAATGCTCTACTCTATTACCCTTGTTAGTTTGATTCTTCTTCGAGATATACCCTTTCTTCTTTCTGCTAAATATCAGCTTTTCAATCAAGCTGGAGTTTGGCAAAGCATTAAAGATAAGTGAAGAGTTCTCCATTGGTAATTTATTCGTATTGACATTTCATGGGACTCATGTCATTGGGAAAGACAGTGGTCCCCTTTAGGAAACCTGTTTGGCAGAAAATATATTAATACTACTTTCTGTGTCATAGGAGTTGAGGTGTTTACTTAGACACTGACACAGGCGCTATGAACAAAACTATGGTTTTTGGAGAAAACATTTTCTTAATACATGTTCACGCTTCTGAGCCACAGATTTTATGAATTAGAGACATGAAAATCATCAA